AGCCACATCCCCAGCCCAATTTTCTTATGTTCTATTTGCATAGTATATCTTTGCCCATCCATTAATTTAATCTATTTGTATCTTTGAATTTAAATGTGTCTTCTTGTAGACATCATATTGCTAGATCTTTATTTTTATAATCAGTCTAAGAATCTCTGTTTCTTGATGATCACTTAATCCATTTACATTTAATTTTATTATTGACTTTTTTTTTTGTACCAGGGATTAAACCCAGGGGCTCTTAACACTGAGCCACATTCCCACCCTTTTTATTTTAATTTATTTTTTATTTTGAGACAGGGTCTCACTAAGTTGTGAAGGGCCTCACTAAGTTTCTGAATCTAGCCTTGAACTTGCAATCCTCCTGCCCCAGCCTTCAAGTCACTGGGATTACAGGCATGTGTCACTGTGCCCAATCATAATTGACTTCTTGTGTCTTTTGATGATATGATTGATTCAGATTATTTTCCTCCTATTATGAAAAATACCTCTTATGTTACAAGAAACAGATTTGAAGAATAAGGCTAATAATACTGACCATTGCAGTATTATTAGCAGTGGTCAGTATTGCTGATACTTTTATTATTACTTTTATTATTAATAAAAGTAATAATATATGAATCTACCTCATTATTTATAATGATGTCATTCATTGATTGAAGGGACATTTAAAATGATCACACCAGTGATCATTTTTAAAGTTTTTGAATATTAACCAAGAGGGTGAAGGAAGTACCAAAAATTAATAAGGAACTAGTTATATCTTAGAGTTATTAGAGGCCTGAGAGAATATTGGAAAAAATTCTTTCAGTTTCTGAGAAACTTCTTATCTTTTCATTCTATAGCTGATAAAAGTTAGGTTCTTAATATGAGGTGAATTTTACATTCTCTATGATATCTCAAGATAGTACAACCTAAATAAAGTAAAAGTGATTAAGAACATAAGATCTAGGAAAGCAAAGACCTTGTCTGTCTTGCTCACCTGTGTCTCCAGTGCCGTGGGCCATACGTGGTACAGAGTGGACACTTAATAAAATATTCATGGAATAAAATATGGTATTTTATACTGAGTGTTGACAGATTTTTTCTAGCATCAGAATTTTAATTTGTAAGAATCTTTTCACTGAATGAATTCTTTATTCAAAGCTATTCTTATTTTTGAATTTAACAAAGAAATGACTCCAACAAACTCATGTGACACTCCCCCCCCCACACACAATGCTGAGTGAAAGGTCCTGTAACTCCATGCTATGGTCTAAATGTTTGTCTCCCTATCCACCCAAATTTCATGAGTTGAAACCTAATCAACAATGTGATGGCATTAGGAAGCTGGACCTTTAGAGGTGATTAGGTCAGTGGGGCAGAACCCTCATGAGTGAGATTAGTATCCGTATAAAAGAAGGGCTGCCTTGTCCCTTCAACCATGGGAGGACACAGAAGGCACTGTTTATAACAAAGTAGCCCCTCACCAGGCGCCAAATCTACTGATGCCTTGATCTTGGATTTCCCAGTCTCCAAAACTGTAAGAAATAAACTTCTGTTGCTTATAAGCTATCCAGTTTAGGTTATTTTGCTATAGCAGCCCAACTGGACAGACACTCCATCACTTGAAAGATAGTCTAGGAGAGTTGGTAATGCAACAAACATGACTCAAGCACCAACAGATATCATGGCAAAGATATTCAAAACTATACTAGAGCTGGGTGCAGCAGAGCACACCTGTAATCCCAAAGGCTCAGGAGGCTGACACAGGAGGTTCGTGAGTTCAAAGCCAATCTCAGCAATAACAAGGCACTAAGCAACTCAGTGAGACCCTGTCTCTAAATAAAAAATGAAATAGGGCTGGGGATGTGGCTCAGTGATTGAGTGCCCCTGAGTTCAATCCCTGATACCCACCCCATAAACAACAACAACGACATTGAAGCTGAGCACAGTGACACACACCTGTAATCTCAGAGGCCAAGGTAGGGGGATCATAAGTTTGAGGCCAGCCTTGGCGATTTAGTGAGACCCTGTCTCAAAATAAAATTAAAAATGGCTGGGGATGTAGCTCAGTGGTAGAGCGCCCCTAAATTCAATCCCTGGGACTGGGGCATTGAGGGTAGGGAACTATATTGGAAACCACCTAAATGTCCATCAACAGAAAACTGGATAAACCCGTCAATGAATGACATCATTATAAATAATGAGGTAGATTCATATATATTGATATGAAAAAATGCCCATCCTGTATTGGCAAATGTTTTAAAAAAGGAATTTGTAGTCTATAAAAATATAATTCCCTTTTCAGGTTTTAAATGATAATACATGTACTGTATAGAAAAAGGAAATTAGAGAAATATGTACTAAATTATTGATAGTGAGATTATTAAAAGTTAGGGTTTTGAGGGGTGGATCATCTATACATTATATTTATGAAATATTTGATACTTGAATAATTGGTGCATCTGTGACATCTATTATGTTCTATTGTTTTGTTTTGGTGATACTGGAGATTGAACCCAGGGCCTTACACATGCTAGGCAAGCACTCTACCAACTGAGTTATATCCCCAGCCACATTTTTTTTTTTTTTTGGTTGTGGTGCCCATTTTGTTCTCTATGAGGGATACTATAGAGATTATTGTGATGGCGATTTCCTTGTTTTTTTTTGTTTTTTGTTTTTTTTTTTTGTCTGTTTTGCAGTGCTAGGGATTGAAACCAGGGCTTTGCATTCACTAGGCAGGTGCCCTGCCAATGAGTTTTATCCCCAGCCCAATGTGTCCTTGTTGGGGGCTGTGACCAAGTCAATATGGCGCCTGGCAATGCCAGGAGGAGTGGTTTGTGAGGCAACGCCACCGAGCCATTAAGTTGGTGGGGATTCCTTATTGGCTGACTGCTGTATCTAGATGATGCTAACTGAGTCAAGCTGTGTGTAACCAGTTAGGTATATATACCTCTGCTGTTCCGAAATAAAGCGGCTCCCGCTACCTTGGGTGCTGGCTACCTTGAGTTCCTGCTCAGTTCCTGCTGAGTTCCTTCGCAATAAAGCAGTTCCCACTTCAACCTTCAAGTTGCTTGTCACCTCCCGGTTATTTTGCCCAGCCGGACTGCAGCATGTCCTTATTTCTTTAATGTTTGCTTCCTCTTATAGACTGAAAACTGTAAAAAATAGCCTATTTGTTTTGTTCAGTGCTGAATTCCAGTGGCTACTAGTTCCTGGAACATAACTGAAGGATGCAGGCATGCATGAATGAATGACATAATCTATGAGAGATACTTATTGTCTGATATATACTATATGAAATATACTTTGTAACAAATAGTTCACATGCTAGATGTGGAATTGATTAAGAGTACAGATCATGGAGTTGGACATCCTGTGATTGAACCCCAATTTTTCCATTTAATAGATGAAAAACCCTGGAAAAATCCCTTAACCTCTTTTTACTCATTTCCCATCTGTAAAATGAGAATAATATTACTACCTATCTCATTAGGTTTTTGAGGAAAATTAAATAAGATTACTCGCATAAAGTGCTTAGCATAGAGCCTGGCATACATTAAGTGTTCCAAGGATGCTATCAAAAATAATAACAACAAAAATAGATTATTATTAGTAGTGTAAGTTTGGATCTAGAACCCCTACAAAGGGGCTCCAGTTAGCCATAGAGGCAGAGATTCTGGGATAGGATACCAAGTTCTGCTCTCCCACTCCCACCTCCAACCTAGTTAAACATAAATCAGGCTAGAGTCATGGGTAAGCAATATTCTTTCTTTAATTTCCCTTTGCAAATGGAAGCCCCTGAGCTGGTCCCCACCCCCACCCCTACCCCACACCCCGGGGACCCCCAGATGCAAGGTCCCCACCTCAACCTGGTAGGAGGAGAGGATTACTTTCTTCCCACGATGGTCCATTTAAAAAAATCCTAATCATTTAAGAAATGAGGCTGGGAACAGGATAAAGGAGCTGGAAGACAAGGCCCAGGTCAGGATAGTCTGTAGATGTTAGGGTTATAACACCCTTGAGAAGGGTTTGCAAGCATATCCCTAAGCTCAGAGCCAGCATGGCTAAAAGAAGAGAGGAGAAAGACCCCTCAAGGTCCCCTGCCTAGTCGTGGACACTGACATTAACTACCACCACCACCACAGGCCTCATGATGGAGAATTTTTCAATTACTCTGGGATAGGGTTTGCTAAGCATTCCCTCTGGCCCCTAATCTGGGGTCCCCCTGAGACCAAACTTGGGAGAAGGAAGGACTCTGGGAACATGCAAAGGTGGGGAGCAGAGACCCCGCCCCACCCCGCTGCTCTACAGGATGGTGGCTCCAGCTGCATCTGGGCTCCGCGGGTCCTTCACACCGATGATGAAGTTGTTGGTTCTCCGACTGCCATGGACCCAGGATAAGACATCTACCTTCTCCACGTGGTGACCCCTGGCTTCCAGGAATTCTATCTCTTCCTCTGTGAACTCACCTGAAAACCATCCCCAACATACACACATTTAGAGTGTTCAGAGCACGGGCTAAGGAGACCTACAGCGGATTTGAGTCCTGGTCTTGGGTGTTCCTGCATGACGTTGGGCAAACTGTTTCACCTCTCCGAGCCTCAGTATCCTCATGTACAGAATGGGGGATAATAAAAGAGTCAGCACATGAAATTGTTTCAGGGATTAAAGGAGAGAATGCACAGGAAGCTCAGAGCCTTGTTTACAGCAAGTGATTGAAAATGTAGTCATTCTCAATATTGGAAAAAGGACTCTGAGGGTCTTCATCTCCACCTGCATAGTCCAAGCTGCCATCACTATTTGCCAGGATTACAGCACAGTCTTTTAACTGCCCCCCACCCACCCAGCTTCCAGTCCTGTCTTCCCTTCAGTCTCTTCACACAGTACCCAAAGGGATCCTTTAGAACACTGGTCAGACCTTGTTAATCCCCTAAAACACTCCACCAACCAGGCTTAGTGGGACATGCCCATAATCCCAGTGATTTGGGAGGCTGAGGCAGAAGGATCATAGATTCAAGGCAAGCCTTAGCACTTAGTTAAGTCCTTAGCAACTTAAAGAAACCCTGTCTCAAAAAATACAAAAGGCTTGGGATATAACTCAGCAGTAAAGCACCCCTGGGGTCAATACCAAGTGCCACAAAAACAAAATATTCTACCAGGTTTGATGGACCTAGAATAAAATCCAAAGTCCTTATCAAGGCCTCTAAAGCACAACATTATCTAGGACCTTGCTACCTCTCTAAATTATTATTTATTCCTTCTATTCTCCACCTTACTTTATTCCAAACACACTGGCTTCCTTGCTGTCCCTAAAGTAGATCAAACATGCTCCTACCTGAGGAATTTTGCACTTCTTGTTCTTTCTGCCTGGTCTGCTTTCCTTTTAGATGGTTTCAAAGCTGGCTTCCTTTCTTTATTCCAGTCTTTGGTCAAAAGGCACTTCTTTGAGAAGCACTTAATGTGTGTCAGGCTTTATGCTGACCATTACCTAGAATAGCAGTCCCTGCCAACTTTACCTTGCTTTGTTTTCTTTCAAAGTATACATATTATATACTTTGTATTTGTTTATTTATTGGCTTTGTCTCCCCCCCACTAGATTAAAATTTTTTGAAGATAGGGTCGTTATCTTGTTTGCTATTGCTCCCCATTGCCTGGACAGAGTCAGTACCTAGTAAAAGTTAAGCAGGTATTTACCAGATAGAGGTGTTTGCTCCTATCCTCTTGCATAAGTTCAGGTTCTCATCATCTCTCACCTGAGCCATACCCAAGCTCCTTCTTGTATTTCCTCAACTTACTTTCTCTTCCCTTCAATCCATCTGCCCTATTCAATTGGATAGTCGTGCCCTCCTCCTCATCTTCCTCTTCTTCTTTTTTACAGCACTAAGGGTTGAATCCAAGGACACTCTATCACTGAGCTACATCCCCAATCTCTCCCACCTTTTTTCTTAAATTCTGAGACAAAGTCTTGCTACGTTGCTGAGGCTGGCCTTGAACTTTCAATCCTCCTGCCTCAGCCTCCCAAATTGCTGTGATTATAGGTGGGCACCACAATGCCCAGCAAATCTGTGCTTCTTAACATTGCCCTCCATGATAAGCCTTGTTAACTTCACCTCCCAATGCTCTTCTATAAAGATCTGGTCTGCTTATTTCTCCAGATAGAATGAGTTTAGGTAGTTTTTGAGATAAAAGACACATTATTGAATAATATTAAATCATCTAGTCAGAAATTTGTTCACTCATGGTTCATTTTCAATCTTTTTGATTATGGCAAGGACCAAGTTTCAGTTTGGCCTCTGAATAGTCTAATTTCCCTTTTAACATAGAAAGCAGGTCTCAGAGCCTTCTGCAGGTAATAATATCTACCTAAAACCTAAAAATATTTGATTTTTAAAATAGCTATTTATTATCTATTTGTGACAAATGATGCTATTTTTCTAATTTTGATTGAATTTTTTAAAAAAGAATCTCTCTGTGTTAATAAGTTTTACTTAAAACACATTTGGGTAAAAAACAAGTCCATTTATACATATGTATTATGTAAATAACGGTTTAGACCACATATAAATGTGGCCAAAGTCATGTGGCCAAAGTCGTGAAAGTGCTAAGTAAATCCAGGAGTTTGGGAAATGACTGGACTCCTGGCTGCACTCTAAACTATTCTTTCTGTTTTTTTTTTTTTTCCAGGTTATTCCTTCTTTCCAGAATCCCTTCATCTCCACATGCCAATTTCCTGCTCATACTTCAGGGCTCAGCCAGTTGTTACCTCCTCCATAAAGCCTTCCTCGGATCTCAGGTGGCTAAATGTTTCTTTTCCCAGAACCCCTCACTTGATATTCTTTTCCCAGAACCCCACCCTTCTAAGACTGTGCAAGGGATGAGCTACCATAAGTAACTTAGCATGCCACCTTATACTTAGTAGAGACTAGCAGAATAAAGTTGAATAAAGTTCAGTTTCAAGAGTCTCCTTCATGCATCAGTTTCGGTTTGATATCACTGACCAACTATAGGGTCTGACTGCAGATGACCTAGGACTGTGCTTTTAACATGCTTCAAGTGCAGGAGATATTAAGGGCCAGGCAGTAAAGAAGCAGAGTCCAGGCAGTAAAGAAGCAGCAGTTTGTTCTAATATCACTTCTGCCACTTGCTGGTTGATCTTTGACTAGTTTATAACTTCTGTAAGCCTCAGTTTCTTTATCTGCAAAATGGAGATAATACTGAACAAACAAAAATTATATCTTGATCAATTCTCAATCCCTTTTGGACTAGCATAGTACATGGTTGGTTATAATAAAACTCCTCAAAGATGCACACATTTTCCTATTTACAAAATTAAGCTGCATCCAAAATTAAGCCCTTGTTCTTAGAGGCAAGTCAATCTTCTCACCATAAATCTAGAAGGTCCTTGCCCACATCTCTTCTCTCATTTCATTCTCACTGAGGTTGGTGTTTGTTTTTGTTTTTGTTTTTTTTTAGTTGTTGATGGACCTGTATTTTTTTTATTTATTTATACGTGGTGCTGAGAATGGAACCCATTGCCTCACACATGCAAGGCAAGTGCTCTATACTTAATCACAACCCCATCCCAGGTTGGTCTTCTTTTTATTCCTCAAACACACCAAGCCCATTTCTGCTGAGTTCTCTGCACTTGTCCTCTTGGCCTACAAAGCTTTGCCTCAGTTCTTTGCCTGGTGGGCTCTTTCTCACTCTTCAGATCTCAGCTTAGATATCACCTGGTCACTGAGTCAGCCCTGTTATATCATTCTGTTTTAATGCTCAGCTGGGTATTTATTTTACTCTCCCTTATCTCTTTGATTATTTCCCCATCTGCTTACAAATGCACTATCTCTAAAACCTAGAATGATGTCTGGCACACAGCAGGTGTTCAATGCAAACTAAGGTATGAACGAAGGTTTGCAGAATGAACAACTATACCTTATTTTACAAATGAGAACACCAAGGCTCAGAGATGAAAAATGGACCTCTCAAGGACACAAAGGAAATAGCAAGATGGTTCCAGTCCCCAGATCTTTCATTACTTTAACAGGAAGTTGTGGAAAGAAACCAAACTTTGGCAAGAAGGAAACTGGTGCTGATCAAGGTAGGGGAAACCTGTCTCTGTGGCCACCCCACGGGAGTCTCTGCTCTGCACTCACTGTCCACCTGCAGGAGGTTGGACTGCAGGTCTGGGTGAAGGCGGCCTCGGGCCAGGCTCTCACTCAGGTTCCGGTTCAAGGTCAGGACATTCAGCAGTACCTGTAGGTAGCCAAGGAGCAGAAAAATCAGGGCTGTCCCAGGGGTGATGAACCAGGCAGGGCTCCCCAGCTCTCACCCTTGGTCCAGACTCTTTAGTCTTTAGAACCCTCACACCAGGTGTGTCATCTGGGCTTCTCAACAACCCTGAAACCAGACAGGCAGGCCTGTGATAACTATCCCTGCTTCATAGAGGAGGAAACTGAAGGCCAGAGAACGAGAGTGATTCACTGAAGAGTTTAGAGGAAGCCAGGGAAGAGGGACCCTCCCCTTTAAATCTAGCTCAGAGCTTCCCTCCCTTCTCTCTGGATAGGGCAGGATTAACAGCTAGAGGTGATTTAAGGTACACATTTGTACTTTCAGTTTAGTGGTTAGGAGCGTGAGTAGACTCTGGATCTGAACTACCTGTCCACCCTTGCTAGTTGAAGGAACTTAACTTCTTAACCTTTCCAGTTCCAATTTCTTCATTTATAAAATAGAAATAAGCCTTTTTCCAGAGTTGGGAAGGTTAAAAGTACTCAGCACTTTGTAAGAACTCTATAAATATTAACTATTTTATTATTTCTACTTTATAGAGGATGATACTGAAGTTCAGAGAGGTTAAGTGAACTTCCTAGCATCACACAGTTGGAAACTGGCAACACTTGGACTAGAACCCACGGGAGTCTAATTCCAAAATTAACTTGTCACCTGCCAAAACAATATGCCTGGCACATATAACAGGAGCTCAAGACATTCAAGGAACTGTCCTGAGGTATTCTGGAGAGTAGTGGCCCTTCCGTTTAAAATCAGACTCTAAAAATTTTTTTAAAAAATAAAAATAAATAATAAAAACAGATTAAAAAACCCCCCAGACTCTAAAGAGGCTGGTTATCTATTTAGATGCAGGGTAGAGAAATGATGGGAATTGAGGTTCACAGAACACAGGTGGCCCAGATGCTATATCACTTTTCAATTCTATTGGCCCTGCGATTTCCCTTGCAACCTGGAAAGACAGGGGCTGCTGGGCCCATTTTCACTAAGAAACTCAGCACAGTCTATTTGTGCCCATGATGGGCCAGGCACAAAGCAATTCAGTTCAAGTTTGCTGTGTAAGGGATGGAGAAACAAGTCAGAGATAGAAGGGGCATCACAGCCCAGGCCACAGCTGGTTCCTGACTGCAAAAGGCCCATAAAGAAAGAAACCTCACCTGGGTCAGACCACTGAGGCCCCGGGCAGCTCCGTTGGCCCCCAGGGCAAGGTAGGTCCCACAGAGCCCCTCTGCCGGTCGGACCACAGTGGGCAGCAGGAAAGAGAGTGGCCGCTTCCCTGGCTGCACTGAGTTCTCCTGTTGTTGGAGGGCAGAGACGGCAAAGGAGGTATCGGATGAGGCAAGGGCCACTCCACCACTCTTCCTACTCCTCTCCTTCTTTGCATGATCTACAGGAAAGGGGGACTGTTTCCCTCTAGGCAACAGTATGCTGTCTGTGAAAGGGAAGGGGTCCCTGGATGGCTAGGGTGGATAAGGTGGAAAAATAAGAGGACCCATTGAGCTGTGAGGCTGCTATGGATGGCAGGGAAAAGAACCAAGACAAAAAGATGGCGACAGGAAAGCAGAGTAGAATCCCCACTGGATCACCTCTAGGTGTCTTTGCCCTGCCAGGCATCTTATACAGTGTAAGAGTGCTGGTCTCCAGCTAGAACAATAACTTCTAATTCCTTCCTCCTTGGGTTCTTCTTTGGTTCTCAATCATTGGGCTGAGCCCCACCAGCTCAGTATCATGGTGTTATAGACCACTAGTGCTGGAAAGAACCCAAATCATTAAATTAGAGCCAATATCCTCATTGTATAGGTGAACAAAATGAGGTCCAGAGATGGGCAAGACTTTCCCTGGGTTGCAGAGTAAGAGAGTGGCAGAATGAGATAAGGGTTCTTCTGACCCACAAGAATCCATGCTTCAGAATGAGCAGGACTAGGGATGAAGTGGATATCTTGTTTCCTTATAATAGAATTTCCTAGGGGAAATAGGGAGGAAGAAGCAATATACAGCTGTACCTCCTACCTAGCCTCAGAGTCCCCATAGAGGAGAGAAGCAAGACCCTACCAGGTTGGGTGCAGAATGGTTAGCAGTTCTGTTGGGCCAGGAGAAGTCCAGCATCTGACTGTTGAGCAGGATCCCCGAGGGGGTGATGAGGCCACTGCCAAAGGGCCGGTTCAGGGAACTGGGGACAGAGATGGGGTCAGATGAGCTCTGTGACTACCTTCACTTCTTCCCAGACCCCACCAGCACCACCCGGTCCAAATGATCTTTTGTTACAGGTTCTAAGTCTGAGCTGGCATACCTGACCATTGCCACGATGAAGTCATCAGGGCCCATAATCAGCACCTGGGCAGCGGTGGGAGCCCCATCAAGCTCATAGACAGGCAGGAGAGGGGCAGGGGCTGCCTGAGAATCATTGATGTGGCCCCGGAAGTAGGCAGCCTCCACCTTGCTAAAAAGACAAGGAGTGGGGGATGAGCATACAACAAGCTTTCAATACACCCCAACTACCTGTGATGTTTATGTGATTATTTGATTAAATCTCCTTTCCTCACTGGACTACTAGGCCTATGAGGGTAGAAGCTCACTTACTGCTGAGTAATTGAACTGAATAGATTTATTTAGGTATTATTCAGATTCTTTTCTAAAATTAATTTTTTTTCCTTTTTTTTTTTTTTTGGTACTGGGGACAGAACCCAGGGATGTTTTTACACTGGGGATGTTTTACATCCCCAGATATTTTTATTTTTTATTTTGAGACACGGTAACACTGAGTTGCTTAAAATCTCAGGAAGTTGCTGAGGCTGACTTTGAACTTGTGATCCTCCTGCTCCAACATCCCGAGTTGCTGGAATTACAGGCATGGGCCACCATGCCCCCCAGGACTCCAGACTTTTTAAAGTTCAAGTGATGGTTTCTCAGATTACTATTATTAACTGTGTGTTGGGTTATTCATAATGATTAGAGAATAATAAGTTACCAAGGATTATTGAAGACATTCGTTCAGTTTTCAACCAAGAAGGATGGTGACCATGCAGTATAGGAACCTGGGGCTTGGTTTCAGATAGCTGGGAGGGGAAACCTTGGTTTTTATGCTTTTATCCCAGTGACCATGATGTGGTTATTGTTTCTGAATGCTGCTCTTTTTGCCTTTTTTTCCTGGATAAGTGATGTTAACTTTTTAATTTGACAGATAAAATTGTATGCATTTGTCATGTCTGATATGATTTTTTAAATTGGTGCATCATAGATTTACATAATAATGGGATTCATTGTGATACGTTCATACATACACAACCCATAATTTAACTTGATGGGTTTTTGTTTTGTTTTTTTTGTGTGGTGAGTACTGGGGATAGTACCACATGCTAAGCAAATGCTCTAACACTGAACTATATCCTCAGTCTTTTTTAAACTTCATTTTTAAACTTTTGTTAATTGGTTTGTTTTCTTTCTTTTTTTTTTGTACCAAAGATGGAATCCAGGGGCTTTACCACTGAGCTACATATATCCCCAGCCCATTTTACTTTTTATTTTGAGACAGAATCTCACTAAATTACTTAGGTCTTGCTAATTTGCTTAGGATGGTCTCAAACTTTCGATCCTTCTGCCTGGGCCTCCACAGTAACTGAGTCTACTGGTGAGTGCTACCATGCCCAGCTCACTAGACACCTTTGCCTGGAGAGGCAAAGGTGACCAGTGTCAGATCGTGAGTTGAGGTTCAGCTGAAACTGACCTGGAACTTCACTGGATCCTTTCCCCAAACCCACTACCACCTCACACCCTTTGGAATCCTGCCCCAAGACCTACCTGAGCATGTCATCCATGCTCTCAGTGATGGTAGAATCATAGATGGGATCTCCCAGTCTGCTGGCCAGGGCTAATGCAATCTTCAAGGTCTGAAAACACAGCAAGGATATGGAAGAGGCTGCCAGGCCCCTTTATGCAGCCCCATCTAGGGATCCTCATGTGAAAGAAAACTAAGGTGATTTAGTCCTCCCTCAAGGCAGTAACCCCTCTTGCCATCCCTAGTGTCCCCAAACCCAGGTGAGATGGAGAGGCTGGCTTTACCTCTGCCACCCAGTGAAGAGCCTGTTCCCGAGATACCAGGCTGGTGAGATTGAAGCCCTCAAGGATGTTCAGAGCACTGATGATGGCAGGGCCTGTGTGTGGGGGTGGAGGACTCAGAACCAGGTGGCCTGAAAGGACAAGAAATAACCAGAGAGCAAGGGAGGGGTCAAGTCATCTTCACATTCCACATTCCAGCTGCACATCCCATTATCGCATGCTCTGAGACCACTGCACTGAGCCCCCTCATCAGATAAGGAAACAGAAGCATTAAGACGAAGGGACCCACTCAAGTTCACATGCCAAGTTGAAGGCAGAGCCAGGACTTGAACTGAGAATACTGGTCTTCAGTTTCCTCTGCTGTATGAGATAACTAAGGCTTAAGAGACTGTGACTTGCCCAGAGTCACATTGTAGGCGATTTTCAGGGCAGGGACAGATAGTGAGATGTCCAGATTCCTAGCCACAGTGTGTTTCCTTTCTGCTCCTCCCACAGGCCAGAATAGTATCCAGGGCTCCTAATGGTCCAACTCAACCTGAAACTCCTTGGAGCAGGAGCCTCCTCTTCCTCCTGTTATTAAATGTTTGGACATCAAAGGAATAAAGGAATAATAATACCTGACAAATAATACCCACATTAACTAATTGACCCATTTAATCCTTACAATAGGAACTGTTATCACCCCAATTTTATAGGTACAGAAACTGTGACACAGAGAGGCAACTGGCCCAAGGTTATAGGAGACAAGGGAAATCCAGAGCACTCAAGGCACTGGCATTGCTGAGACAACTCAGGCTGGGGAGGGAAAATAGAAAGTCCAGTGCACTCCATGCCCACTCTGATCAAGGCACCTTCCTGCACCATCTCATCAAATCCTCACAGGCACCCTGAGATCATCCCCATTTTAAGGAGTGAACCAAGGCTGGAAAGTGGAAAGTGACAAGTTTGAGGCAAATGGTACTCAAACCCAGATCTTTCTGTTTCCAGAGCTACACTCTTTCCTCTACTTCATATAACATTGTTTCCAGCAGAGGAATCAGGTAAGAGATTGAGACCTGAAACTTGAATTCAGAAGTAGCCTCTTCTGAGGCTTGAAGTGATTTTGCCCTCCCAGAAGGGAAAGAACCCGAGAACTTCTGAAGGACCCAAAACCTACCACTGTGGGCTCAGAAAACATCACCCATGTCATAATCCAGCTTTCTGGATTTCTTATTGGTTTTCTTGAATTTGCAGGCTGAGTTCCTTTCCCTTCCTAGGACTGTTTTCTTTTGGTACATGAGGGACCAGGTTTGTGACTCTCATGAAGGGTTCATTCGACCTGAAGCCTAGATGGACTTCCGTCTTATGAATTCTTTTATTTTTTTAATTTATATTTTTTGGCACCAGGGATTGAACCCAAGAGCCACATGACAGCCCTTTTTTATTTTTTTATTTTGAGACAGAGTCTCACTAGGTTGCTTAGAGCCTTGCTAAGTTGCTGAGGCTGGCTTTGAATCTACGATCCTCCTGCCTTAGACTCCTGTGCCACTGGGATTACAGGTGTGTGCCACTACGCCAGGCAAATTCTTCTTACGAAGAACAGGGCAGTAAGAATGGGGCTGGGGCTAGGGTTGAGGCAACATAGTGCCCAAATCCAGAAAACAGATATTTAGAACCCCAACTTTCAGATCTGAGCCTTTGGCTAGATGAATCCCCCCTCATTGTTAAAATAATTAGGTTAAATGATGCCATGATTATTTCAGAAGATGAGTTGGCTCTGGTTTGCTTCAACAGCTGGCTGCCCAGGCATTTCACTGACTCAGTTTCTCTCCTGTAGATTGGAGAGAAATTTTCAGGCCAAAAGGATATGGCCTTGGACTGGGATGCTTTTCTTGAGTGGGGACCCTGAAAGTTGGGGGAGAAGTCACCTCTGTACACCCCACACACAGGCTTCTCCACAAGGGCACTGTAGTTGCTGAAGTCCTCTTCAGTTATGACGCCCCCTGCATGCTGAGCCTGGAGGAGAGAAAATGACCACCCACCACTGTGAGCACGTGGCTTGGCCTATAACACACATCTGAATCACAAACAAATTGACTGTTCACAACTTTTATGCCTCATGGCCTTGAAGAACCCCATAAGTCCTAAGTACCATAGGAAGAAGGAGAAAAGCATGAACACCAAGCACCTCCTATGTGCCAGCCATGGTGCTAGATATATTCCATGAGGGACCTCTTTAGCTTGGTATTCTAGTCCCTTCCTGCTTCTCCCACTTCATGTCCTGCTGTTCTTCAGTGGGGTCTACATAGCTGCAGAGTGACCTGAAGGTCCTGAACTCTACCCCCAAGTCTTTTCAAGTGCTGCCCTCTTAGACTCTGTAAAAGGAAGACTTACCCTTACAGCAGCACTTACCTAGGAGATATCAAAATGAATTCTACATCTCATTACAACCAATTAAAATCACTACAAAACCAAAAACTTTTTTGGAGGGGGAGGGGTGCCAGGGATTGAACCCAGGGGCACTTACCCACTGAATTATATCCCCAGCCCTTTTTATTTTTTTAAAATATTTATTTATTTATTTATTTTTTAGTTCTCGGCGGACACAACATCTTTGTATGTATGTGGTGCTGAGGATCGAACCTGGGCTGCACGCATGCCAGGCGAGCGCGCTACTGCTTGAGCCACATCCCCAGCCCCTCTTTTTATTTTTTAGGATGCTTAGGGCCTCACTAAATTGTTAGAGGCTAGCTTTGAACTTGTGATCCTCCTGCCTCAGCCTCCCATGCCTGAGGGATTATAGGTGTGCCACTGTACCCAGCTAAAACCATAAACTGTGAATGACCCCAGTAAGTCTGACCCTGTGTGTCTCATTGTCAGGAAAACTCGTTCCTAACCAATGAACCAATCTGGTACAAACCAGCAGGCTCATTCCATTCTAACAGTGTGCTAACTGTTAATCTTAAATTAGTATTACTATGAATCTTCTCCTTTTTTTAAACTTTTTTTTTTAGTACCTGAAACCTTTGATTTCTCTAACTTCTGAGTGAACTACATATTGAATTTCTTGGTTACCATGTGTTCCTTTGTCTGACAAGATAATAAACTCAACTTGGGTTTTTTTCTTTTAAAACCCTGATGGTCTTTATGTTAGAGACTCCTGCATGCCCTTCTCCACCTCTGGGTAAGGATGTGTGATCCAGATGTGGTCAATCAGAGCATTCCTTTCTATGTCACAGTGATTAGTTTGGGAATTGTCATGTACCTGTAACAAGCCAATGAGACACAACCACGAGGCTTTTGCTGGAACTATAAGGAAAGTAAAATACTGTTTCTCTGGGATGGTCTAAGATGGGCTGGTGAGCACAGAGTGTGGATCCAAACTATTGGAAAATATTGGGGAGAGAGAAAGAGACAGAGGCAGATGGACAGACAGACAGATCAAGTTCTGACAATGTGGATGGAGCCCTTGGATCCGGGAGGACCTAAAGCCAGTGTTCTCTTGGACTTTCTAGTTAAGTCCACTTGGGATGGGCTTCTGTCACCACTACCATATCTCCAGTGCCCAGAATAGGGCCTAGCACTGAGCAGACACTCTGTGAATGGTGAATGAATGATACACCTATGTAATTCCCACTGTAATATGGAAGAATTTTATATAAACATCTCCATTACACAGAGGAGATTACCACTGAGTTGCTCCATGCATCCTATTCTTGAACACAGTTTTTCTAGGCGTTTTGGACTGTTGATGATAATTCTCAGAATACACTATTGCCTCAGACTAAATTACTTTGGGGTTGGGTGGTAACCTCCTGTGTCCATCTCCCAGTCCTGACAGTCACCAGTGGAAGAGATGTTTCCCTCAGTCCCTAGAAAGCAAGGAGGATTATGGGCTTAGAGAAACTGAGGCTAATTCTGGGCCTCTACCAGACCTGTGGAAAGCAGGCCAAGCCCCTGAACAGTTAGCAGCAGCGCTGATAAGCCCAAAGGTACCCTCTCAATCAAGACAGAACATTTATATTGCTCCAGGTTTCTTATGCCCCATCCCAGACAGCCCCTCCAATCCTTAATAACCACTAGTCTGGTTTCTTGTCCTTTTTCATTTCTTTTTGGTTCTCAGGGATCAAACCCAAGGGCATTTAACCACTAAGCCACATCCCCAGCCCTTTTGCAATATTTTATTTAGAGACAGGGTTTCAGTGAGTTGCTTAGGGTCTTGCTAAGTTGCTGAGGCTGGCTTTTAACTTGCAGTCTTCCTACCTCAGTCTTCTGAACTGCTGGGATTACAGGTGTGTGTCACCAACCTTGGCCTGATTTCTTTTGGTACTGAGGGTTTAACCCAGGGGCACTTTACCACTGAGCCATATCCCCAGCCCTTTTTATTTTTTCATTTGAGACAGGGTCTTGCTAAGTTGCTGAGGCTAGTCTCAAACTTGTGATCCTCCTGTCTCAGCCTCTCAAGTTACTGGGATTACAGGTCTGGTTTCTATCACTGGAGGTTAGGTTTGTTTATTTTAGAATTTCAAATACATACAATCAGAATATATATGATGAAAGAAAGGCAGGGAGGGTAGAAAGGGGGAAGAGGGCCTCCCTGCAATAGGGTCCTTGGGGCATACCCCTACCTCCCACCCTCACACTCACCTCAGCCACCATCTCCAGTGTGAGGTTGCCACCGTTGTAGAAGGCAGCAGGGCCAGAAGTGCCAAGTGCATCCAGCACCTCTGCCAGGTCAGGACGACGCATCAGGGAGCCAGGCAGTGGTGGGTGGCCCAAGGGCAGGAATGTCTCCAGGAAGCGCTCAGATGCATTGGGAGGCAGCTGCTCAGCCAAGGCCCGGGCTGGGGGCAGGGATGGGAGGCTGGGCAGGGGGTGCCAAGACTGGGCCAGGTGATTGAAATGCATAATAGATGGGGTGCATGAGGGCTAGTGGCTGGCCCTAAGTGCTCTGGTCCCCCAGGAGCCTATTATAGGGCACAATCTGCCCTTCCAATATTCCCTCATTTGAAGCCTCTCCCAGGTCAGAGTAAGATGGGAAATGGAAGAAGACTGAGGAACAAACTGGAAGAGAGGTTCCCCCCAATCAACTGTGTGCTTTTCCCCCAACCCCCAGACCCCACTGACCTAGATCATGGGTCACGTTGAAACCATCTTGGGCCACAGCTGCAGCGAAGGCCAGGACTTGGGACCATGGCAGCCTGGGGGGGCCGGAGAGCAGGGGGTGGAGGAGGTCCTGGGGGGAGGGGGGTTCCTGGGAAGGAGAGTCCTGGCAAGGGAAGGGGATATTAGGAGGGGGAGTTGGGAAGGGAAGAATCAAGGAAGGCAGGACAAGGCCACCCAAGGAGAGATGCAGGCAGGGGCCCCTGGTCCCCAGGAGAGGGTCATTACCTGCCATAGAGCTGATGAGCTTCATGTAGCCCCTTCACCATTCCGGGGACCCCCACCAAGAGCCCAGGCTGGGCAAGGCGGGCAGGCGAGGGAGAGAGGAGACCAGGTCACTGGAAGGGGGGGGCTGGGCTGAACTCTGCAGAGCCCCAAGCCAGGGATGGCTGGCATAGGGGAGAGACACATGCCAAGTATCCCAGGAGAGGGACAAGCTTTCCCCTGCAGACATCCCTCCCATCTCCCTGAATTTCTATACACAAATGCAGAAAGGCCTTTATTTATCATAGTTGAGGGATTTAATAAATTAAGCAAACCCCATCAAGAGCCAGGATAGAAACAAGTTAGATAGAAATCCATCCACACTGGATTATACCTACCCTTGCCTTTTAAAGTTGTGGACAATATAGCTTCACTTAACTCATTTTCATACTATTAGTGCTCTGAGTTGTGAGAACCCAGGAATGTGTTTGGCTTTTGCCACTGCACTAAATATCTATTTTTTCAAGTTATTCTATTTCCTCTTTTGCTCTCTGAGGACAGTGGATTGCCTCTACCTAGCAGTTCCTCTTACTCTTTCAACATGTTGTAGGCTGGGAAAGTTATAGTCATTAGGCTCAGAGTGTGAAATATGAGTTTTTTTGTTTGCTTGTTTTGCAATATTGGGGATTGAATCCAGGGCCTCTCACACTAATCAAGTGCTCTATCACTGAGCTACATCCCCAGCCCCTTTCTTATTTTTATTTTGACACAGGGTCTCACTAAATTTCCAAGGCTCATTTTGAACTTTTGATCCTCTTGCCCCAGCCTCCCTAGTAGCTGAGATTATAGGCATGCATCTTTATACCTAAGGTATAAGTTTTAACACAGGAACTCTGTGACATTTCAAGGTACTTGGTGGCCTTTTTTCCCTCTTCCTATGTTCCAGATGGTAAGATTATCAGAGAAGTAAGATGTTGCAGTATTACCTGCTAAACAACCATCCACAGTTTTTATTTATTATTTTATTTCATGGGAGTTGCCTGCCTCCCTATAGCCTAAGAAGATCCTGTTCAATTCTTTTTCCTAACCCAATGGTAAATACTCAGCAAATTAATGCTTGAGTTAGCAGAAGAGCAATGAAGGAAGACCCCCTTGAGCCCTCGCTTCACAACAGGGTCCCCACCTTGGTTTCCCAGGACCTCTGCAGGGCCTCTTCCCTGAGGGCCCCTGGTGCAGACTCCCGGAAATCAATTAGTTGGCTTTCGTTTCGACGGATGTCATGTACCAGCATTACGCCCCCACTGGAGAGACACAGAAGGGGGAAGGGGATTATAACATGCCGACTTTCTGAATCATTAAACTGCCACCCTTCAATCCCAGGAGTGAGGGTTATAGGCTCAGTTTGTCATTCTGAGTCAGGAGTTTGAGTCCCCTCCCCAGCAGGGATTCAGCCACCTTAGAAGGGTAGGGAGTGAAATCAAGGGAGTGGGAGACACCCAGAGTTCAAGGACTTCTTTTAGCCTGTTATTAGAGATTTTAATCCCTGCTTAGGGAAACCCAGAGACTGGGAGAGCAGATGTTTTGCTCCTGCCCCCACCCTAGACCAGAGTTGGACCTCTGCCAACTTCCTGCACCTGCCTACTTGGTATCCCTCCCCCAGGACTGAATTATGTAAGGATAGACTGCAAAGCCAAAAGGAGAATTTCTTTGGTAGACCCTGGAGGACTGGTCTTGCAGGAACCAAGATATGGACTTTGTTAGCTTATTCCTTTTCTGTGGTTTTTTTTTTTTACAACTGAGACAGGGTTACAAACTTAATGCCTGCAGCCAAGTAACAAAATAAGGAAAGCAGGACAGAGAAACAAGAGAAAGTTGTAGGAACTCTGGCAAGGTGGACAGCACCTGCCCCATCATGGGGAACAGCTTCTACTAAGCTCTAGATAATTGTAGCCATGTGGAAAAATGAGCCCAGTGTTATCAGATCTTCTGATTGCTCAAGAGATGTTAGAAATCTAGATTTTTTTTAAAAAAAGAAAATTCTCAATCTTTTAACAACAGCAAACAAGTTTTTTAAAAATTTAAGTGTGCAAACAAGTCATTCTGTGTGCTTGGTGTGGCCCATGGGTGACCAGTTTGTAACTTCGGTTTTAAGAGTTCTCAGCCTAGAGTATATTTTTGGAGGGTGGAGGGTCCATGGCTTTCATTAAACTCACAGGGATTTGTGACCCTAAAACATCACTGCCTTTACTGATGACAGTATACTTCACTGTACACCTCACCTTATAATTTACAAGTTTCCTTTTCCAATGTGTGTACGTGTGTGTGTGTGTGTGTGTGTGTGTGTGTGTGTGTGTGAAGGGAAGCTCCAGAAACACCTCCAGATTCTCCATATGATAGCTTTACCCTCTGACTTCAGGGAAAAAAGAGTGACATTTGGTATAGAAAGAAAAAAAAATGCAGGGCTGGGACTATAGTTCAGTAGTAGAGCATTTGCCTCCCAAGTGTGAGGCACTGGGTTCAATCCTCAGCACCACATAAAAATAAATAAATTAAATAAAGGTATTGTGTCCATCTACAATTAAATATTTTTAAAAGAAAGAAAAAAATGCAAGGAGTTGGGGCTCAGCCTTCCCTCTATTCAAACTGGGAGACCAACGGCATGAAGTCTACAGACCAAAAGACAAGAAGTAGGCCAGGGTGACCCAGGGCTGGGAGCTCCTTACCCGCCTAAGCCAGAACTGTGTGGAGCCACGATCCCTAAACACAAGGCTGCTGCTACAGCTGCATCCACGGAAGATCCCTGTTTACTGAGCACCTCCATGCCCAGTGATGTGCATTGAGCAGCATCAGTCACCACAGCACCCTGCTGGAAGATCTGGGAGGGGAGATAGGAAGGGGCAGTAGGAGCCATCCAGGAACCCTGGAACCTCTACAGGAGCTAGGGCATGCATGCAAGCCTTGCCCTCTGCTGTCTGCCCTCCTGTAGTTATAGAGATTGAACTTCAGGGGGCTCTACCACTGAGCTACAAAACCATCCCTTTTTATTTTTCGTCTGGGTCTCGCTTTGTTGCCCGGACTGGCCTTGAACTTACGATTGACCAGCCGCAGCCTCCCGAGTCGCTAGAATTAAAGCCATTTGCTCCTCTTGTCACCTTGACTCTTCCTTATGATGCCCACCTCACTGCCCCAAATGCCTCCTACGTGATGGAGTCTCTTCTTTGTTCTATCCCGCTCCCGTCCCACAATTCTTCCCTTTAGGACCTTCCTCTCCCAAGTCATCACCCTCTCGCCTTCCTAGTTCCCGGCCCCATTCCACCACTCAGTCATTCCCCAGTTCGAACAGCCCCCTCAAGCATATCCTCACTCTCTCCTCCCCAGTGCCCTCTCTGCCCAAATGCCCCTCTCACCTGGGGGTCCCCGAAGTAGATTTGCATGACCAGCGCCACAGTGACGCCGGTAGCGAAGGTGAGGCAGGCAGTGACGATGACCGTAAGCCCATCTTGGCGGCAAGAGCACTCGGCCGCTGCCGCGGAAAATGGGTCCTTGCGAGTCTCTCTTAGCGGTGACCCGTCCTGGCTGCCCATCTCCGACGACGACGATGGCAGCCGTTGCAGTCGCGCCGACTTCAGGAAGGAATCCGGGTCTGCAGGAGGACGGGGACAAAGGTTGGTCTGGGCGTCTCCTACCTGGCCCTGCCTGCGGTCCCCCCTGCCTTGCCCCTTCAACACAAACCCCACTGGCCAGCCCTGCTCGCTTTTGGTCTCTGGGACCACTCCAGGGCTGGCAGGGACTGTGGTCCCAGGTTAGAAAGAGACAGAGACCCTCAATTGGGCAGCTGAGAGAGACTGCATTGCTTCTTGAGTGATACCTAGGTCAAATTTTCTGTGATCCTGAACAAGGACTGAGAACGCTTTGGGAGAGGGGGTGGATCGGTTCAGCCCTCTCTGGAAACCAGATCCTGCCCCAGTTAGGGCCCAGCCTTGTGTATAAGGAGGCAGTTATCAGGCAGGACCCTGGTTTCCAACATTGCTCCAGTTATCTACATATTCAACAACTATGTGTCTGGCCCTATGCTAGATGCTAAGGGGAGAGGAAAAGACAGTTCCTGTCTTCATAGAGTTCATGGACCTGTGGAGGAAAAATGCAATAAACAAGTAAACAAAGCACTACATTATTACAAGTTGTGGCAGGTGCTACGAAGAAAAATAAGGATGAAATGATAGAGCATGGGCTGGGGATGTGTCTTACTGTTAGAGTACTTGCCCTGGTATGATAGAGGCCCTGGGTTTGATCCAAGCCCTGCAGGAAAGAGGGGCAGGGTGAGGAGAGAGAAGAAAGTGGGCAAAGGGGAAAGAGACTGTTGATTGGGGGAGACTGCTACCTGGGGAAATCAGAGAAGGGAGGAGGTGGTTTTAAGCAGAGAACTGAGCGATAAGGAGTCAGTCACTCTTAGAGCACTGGGTTTGTATGTGGAATGTTCCTGAGGGATCAACAAGACCCTAATGTGGGAATGAACTTGGTACATTAGAAAACAACATCAAACAAAACAAACAAACAAAAACCAAGGCCTGGGTGGCTCTAGTGTAGCAGGAAAGGAAAAGAATAGTAAGGAGAGAGTGTAGGCTCCATAGGCTGGGCCCTCGGTGCCTCCTGAAAAACTTGGATTTTACCCTGTATTATGGGAGGTCACTGGACAGTTTTAAGCAAGAACATGAAGTAATCAGTTTTGTGATTTTAAATGATCAATCTGGGAATTGGGGACAAAGCTCACTTACCTAGCATGTGCAAGGCCCTAAGTTCTATTCCCAGCAATGGGGGAAAAAAATCCCTCTGGCTGCTGTATGGAATAGATTGGAGGATAGTAAGAATGAAGTCAGAGAAGAACTGAAAGCCACTTACTTGCTGAGTGACTATGGACACATAACTTCATGTCATGGGCCTTACCTTTCTCATACTGGTAATAGAAGTAATCCCTAACAGGTGGGATGTGTGATAAATACCAAGTGCACCATAGCTATACTGTAGTTAAGAATTGTTGTTATTTCCATTCCTTTCCTACCTTGACCAGAGCTAAGACCCTCTTCCATCTCATAGTTCTGCCCTCTGGATGCTGCTGTCCTTGAACCCAAGTGCCTAAATGGTCAAAAAGTCCTGAATGTTTGTGAACAATAAAGAATTAGCTGGGGGTTGGGGTTGTGGCTCTGTGGTAGAGTGCTTGCCTAGCATGGGGAACAGGGTTCAACCCCCAGCACCACATAAAAATAAAAAATAAAATAAAGATATTAAAAAAAAAGAATTAGCTGGTACCTTCACCTTAGCATCTTACTATATTCACATTTTAAGAGTTTATTCATTCAACAATTATTATTTTTTAAGATATTTATTTTTTAGCTGTAATTTACCACAATATCTTTGTTTTATTTATTTATTTTATGTGGTGCTGAGGATCAAACCTAGGGCCTCGCACATGTTAGGCAAACACTCTACCACTGAGCCACAACCCCAGCCCTCAACAATTATTTTTTAGACTTTTTTTATTGTTTTAGGGGCAGTGTCTCATTAGGTCTTCAAAGTTGTGGGCTCATGTGATCCTCCCTTCCTGAATAGCTGAGACTCCAGGTATGTGACACCATTCCCAGGACTAGGAGTATAATGCCTTTAAAAGTTTGTGTTATGGGCTGGGATTATGGCTCACTGGTAGAGCACTTGCCTAGCATGTATGAAGCACTGGGTTTGATTCTCAGCACCGCATATAAATAAATAAATTAAATAAAGGTTCATTGACAAATAAAAAATATTTTTAAAAAGTTTTGTGTTATCATATTAAATATCAACTTATAATTTCCTGTTTAAGATACTATCATGGACTGGGCACAGTGTCTCATGCCTAAAATCTCAGCAGCTCAGGAGGCTGAGACAGGAGAATCGAAAGTTTGAGGCTAGCTACAGCAACTTAGGAAGACCCTGTTTCAAAATAAAAAATAAAAAATGGGCTGGGATGTGTCTCAGTGGTTGAGCCCCCTTGGGTTCAATCCCTGGTACCAAAAAAAAAAAGTACTATCATGGTTCACTGATCATTGAACCATGAATTAACATGAGACAAAAGATGATTTAAAAAAAAATCCAAGCTTCTTCATTTAGTGTTTAAGGCCCTCCCTGATCCAAACTCTTCTCTGTTATATAAATAAGAAATCACAAATATCAATAAAATGCTGATATAGGCAAGAGATTTTTCAGAATTTATTTATAGGGGTTACTTTGGGAAAAGATACTATAAATGGGAATAAGATGTGATGAAAGAATTTTTTGTTTACCACTTACATATATTTAAAAAACAATACAAATCAGGGTTGGGAGTGTAGCTCAGTGATAGAGTGCTTGCCTAGCATAGGTGAGGTACTGGGTTTGATCCTCAGCACTGCATAAAAATAAATACATAAAATAAAGGTATTGTGTCCATCTACCATTAAAAAATTAAAAAAAAATCAATACATGGGGCTGGGATTGTGGCTCAGAGGTAGTACACTCACCTAGCATGCGTGGGGCACCTGGTTCTATTCTCAGCACCACATAAAAATAAAATAAAGGTATTGTGGCCATCTACAAATAAAAAATATATTTAAAAAATAATACTACTAATTTTATTCATATACAAGACACTGGGAAAAAATTATTTGGAAACAGAAGAAAACAAGTCTCTTAGGAGAAAGATGATGAGTTTCATTTTGAGTAGGACCATAAGGAGCTGCCTAGAGGATAGCTAGCCTAGTAGACATCTACTTTTTAGATGTTTAGATACCATTTCCCAATTTTCTTTTGAGGAACACCCTCTCCCTTCCCTCAACCAACTCCCTCAACCTCATTCTTGACCAGAGTTAAGAGTGCGATTCAGGTCTTGCCAACCAGAACATGCATCTCTGTATCAGGCCACTAAGACTCAAATTTTGTTTTTTGGTTGGGTTTTTTTGTTTGCTTGTTTGTTTGAGACAGGTTATCACTAAATTGCTGAGATTATAGGTGTGCACCTACCACGCCTGGCCAAACTTTGTTCTTTTGCTAGAACTATTGGGAAAGAAAAAAGTCCTCTTTCTGCATAGGTTGATAAATTGGTAGAATATAAACCTGTAGCTGCTGGGGGCATTTTGCCTCAACAATATGGAATGCTTTCTGACTATGCCCACAAAAACAAAGGCAGAGCAGAAGATCAAAAGTTAAATTCTTTTTTCATTTTTCAGGAGGATCTTGCTATTTTGCCCAGGTTGATCTGGAACTCCTGAGCTGTAGTGATTTTCCCTCCTCAGCTTCCTAAGTAGTTGGGACTACAGGAGTATGCCACCATACTAGGCCTAAATTAATTTATTCTGTAATTTTTTAAAAATATTTTTTAGTTTTGATGGACTTTAATTTTACTTATTTGTATGTGGTGCTGAGAATCGAACCCAGTGCCTCACGCATGCTAGGCGCTACCACTGAGCCACAACCCCAGTCCCTGTAATTTGTTTTTGTTTCTATTTTTGTAGTACTGGGAATTGAACCCAGGGGCACTCTACCACTGAGCTATATCCCCATCCATTTTTATTCTTTATTTTGAGTCAGGGTCTTGATAAATTGCCAAGGTTGGCCTCAAACTTGCAATCCTTTGCCTCAGGCTCTTAAATCACTAGGATTACAGGCATTGCTACTATGTCCATCCTAATTAATCCCTATTTAGGACACTTTAATCCATCTCTGTGTAAAGCCCTATGCTCCTGGACTTCCTGATTATACTATCCAATAAAATTCCTTTTTTTGATGTAACTGTTTTAACTGGGTTTATAACAAAGGAACCTTGAAAAGAGAGGATTATGAATCCATTGTCCAGGAGACACATCTCAGCTAGAGATTCAGGTCATCTCTGGTTTGCTTACTCCCTTAACAGGGAATTTTTGAACCAGGGATTACATGACCAGATGTACAGGATGGTGGATGGATTGGGGTGAGGGCAGAGGCAGGAAGAGTAGCTACAAATCTGAGTAATATAGATCTGAGAGGTTCATAGTTTAGTCCAGTGGTGATGACAGGATGGAGATATAGAACTTGGAAAATACTTAGGAGGAGGAGAGAGCACTTGATCAGCTTTTGGAAGAAATAGGGAGTCCTGGAGAATGGTTAAATGACAGTATTAATTGAGAATGACATTGGAAGAAGAGCAGGTGTGTGGAGAAGAGATGATGAATCCAGCATAGAATATATTCAAGATAAGGCACTTGCAAGATATTTAGAGGCAGATGTCTGGGAGAGGGAGGCACATGTGGGCTTGGAGTACAGGAAAAAGGGAAGGAAAGTATTTCTAGCCTTGGAGAGATCGTTGACTCTCTTTGCTTTGCATAAAGAAAACCGCTGTGGGATGCCTACCTAACACTTGGTTTTGGAGAGTGGCAGAACAGTCGGGCGCAGTAAGATCCTAGCTAAGAAGATGGGACAGTGCCACTAGGTGGCACCATGAGGTTGAGAACATAGGAGGCCATGTTAGCCAGTACTCTGGTCTAGCTGGAAGAAAGAAGCCTAGGAATTTGGAAGCAGGGCTAGGTGACATGGCACTGAAACACTTATACCAATATGATGGCAATGTCCTTGGAATCTACATAACATGTCCCTGGGAACCTTGGTACACAACCTCATCATAAAGTTTAAGTTCCTAGAAGCTTGGTGACCAGGGTGAGGGCACAGTCTGTATTGGCACATCAAGATATTCCCTGAGGTTTTGAAATTCCCTTTCCTGCCATTATTTCATCCGGAGATCTTTTGTTAATTTTTATGTGGTGCTGAGGATCAAACTCAGTGCCTCACACATGCTAGGCAAGCACTCTACCACTCAGCTAGAACCCCAGCCCAACATTCAATAATTATTTATTGAGCCCAACTCTGTGCTGGATGCTGGAGTGGTTAAAACAATCATGATTCCTGCCTGCCCTCAGACATTGAATAATCACATCATTGCAAAAACAAATAATTGAAGGCTTTTAAAAATGCTAATTTATTTGAGGGGTGGGAGAAGAAAATCAAGAGAGTCTCATCTTTGGGTTAGGAGAGACTGCCATTCTTTGTTGATCTGAAAGAGGAATCTAAGGCCCACTACAGGGGAGGTATGCCTATTGTAACACAATGAGTTGGGGGCAATGCTAGCACCAAAAGCATCATGAAAGACCTGGCTTCAGGCTAGTATCCTCCAAACCACCCCTCTCCCTACTACCTCCTGATTCCAAAGCTACTCCCTCTGGAAAAGAAGTTTCAATCTGCAGTCCTGACATTTGATGTCCCAAATCCTCCATACCCCACTATCCCCTCACACCTATCACAGGTAGAATAGAGTCTAGTCAAGTTGATAGGTGCTATTGGTCAGGGCCAGATGACCAGAAAGTTATGGAGTGGGTGAGAATTGGAGGCTGTCAGACTGGGAGCAGCTATGGAAGGGCCAGACCAGGGAGGGCTGGGCCAGAGAAGCAGTATCTGTCAGGCAGTTAAGGGCTAAGGCTCAAGTGCAGGCACTAGGAGGAAGAGAGGCAGAAGGATGCTCTAATGCCAGGAAATGACGTTGAGGGAAAGAAGGCTGGGGGATGGAGGATGAGAAATGGAGGGGAGAATGGAGCTAGGCCACATGGATAGGACAGAGACCAGTAGGGAAGGAATACTCAGAGAGCTCCTGGTCACCAGGTTTCTCCCAAGCAGGGTCTTGTCCCTCCCTACCCCCATTCCTTGTAGTTTCTGCAGAGGGCTGAGGACACAGGAAGATTCTGAAGATTGCTTCCTAGGGAGCTGAGTACCTAACATCCCAGCCAGATCTATGTCTCCAGTAGGATGAAGTAATCCACAGGACAGAAAAGGTACTCTAGTCCCCAAGGACTTTGAGAGGTCATGCAGTCCATCCCCCTGTCTTCCAATAACCAACATTCCCAGACAGAGGGGAATCATATTCTCTTTATCCCTCCCTGGACATGAAGAGATTCTCAGCAGCTCCCCAGACTCTCTGCTTTCCATAACCCCTGGTCATGGTGAAGTTCTAAAACCTAGATTCTATCCCTCCTGCTGCAGTCTCTGACTTGGTTTCTTCTATCCTGTCCTCTGTGGCTAGAGAAAAGCCTTTTACTGGGTGATTACAGCTGTTCTTTAGGATCTCCCCTCCAGCATTCCTTCCCTGTTGGTTGGTTCTTCCCAGGAGGTAATCCCAATCCCTCCTACTGCAGTCCCTGGCATCAGCTCCCTTGTCGCATCCTATGCCTCCAAGGCAGAAATGCACCCCCTTCCTGACTAGATAATTAACAGAGACAGGGAGAAAGGAGAGGTTCAGGAGGATGGTGGTCCAGAGAATGAACTAAGGATATGGAGGCTGCAAGTGGATGTACTACACAGATGAAGGAGGACCGGGGACTTCCCAAGGGTGGACACGGACGGGGCAAACGGGCCTCACCAGTATCGGGGTCTCCCAGGAAGGCATCCTCGTCCTTGCGTCCCCTCAGCGGAGCGGCAGGCGCCGGCTCATCCTCCGGCAGCCGCGGGAAGCTGGTGATGCTCATGTAGTCTACTGGCGAGTAGGCGCCCAGAGCGCTCTCCTGGCTGGCCTCGCTCTCTGCCGCCATCCTCACTTGCACCCCCTAGCAGCGCAGCGCCTGCCGGAAGTGGCTGCGGCGGGGGTTGGAGGGAGTGCGGGGTGGAGGGCGGGGCCTGAGCCCCTGGACAGCCGGGAGGGGGCGCCCCCTCCCTTGGCAGTGTCCGGGTCTGACTCGCCCCCGCCTGCTTAGAGCTGTCATCCTGCAGTGGGCACGCAGGTGCAGGTGGATGGAGAACCGCGAGGGCGGTGGAGCGTTGGGGGAGAGCGCGCAGCACAGTGGACCCAGGCACTTCATGCAACTGCAGGTTCAAAGCCCTTTCTCCTTACTGTCTGAATCCAGCTAGTATTCTTCTCAGAAGCAGACACTTTCCTGGGACCACAGACCTTTTCACTGACTGCAAACACTTCTTTGACCCCAAATTCTGTTTCTGGTCCCAAACTCTTTGGACCCTCCCAAACTCTTCTTAAACTCCAAAGATCCTCCTCTTCCGATCTCAAACTACTCCTTCCACCCTGGACATCTCTTCAACTTCCAATTGTCTTCACCCCACCCCCAGACACCGTTGAAATGCCAGGCCCTACTTTATCCCTAGACCACTTTTTTACTTGCAGACCCCTCCTTAGACAAAGGACCTTAGATCCCTTTGTGCACACTGACACTTCTCAGATTTTTCTTTCCAACCACAACGATTCTGGATTCCCTGATGGATCAGCAAAAGAGATTGGTCCTCAAACATTAGTGTGTATTGGGATCTTTGAAAGCAAACCCTAGATTCCACTGGATAGATCATGATTCATTCGGTAGGCTGGAATGAGGTATTTAGAACCTGAATATCTACCCGTCATTTAAAGAGTTTTTGATGTGGTTCTGGAAAGGACACTTTTGAGAAATAATGGTGACACAAGGTTGGTGGGATGAAGAAGATAAAAGGGTGAGAATGGGTCTCTGTAGTCTAGATTCTATTCTTGGCACTACTGCTCACAAACTTTGTGATCTTGGGTAAGACAATCTCATTGAGTATCAGTTTCCCCATCTGCAAAATGGAAAGAATAATAGTATCCATCTTAGAGGGTTTTAATGAGGATTAAATAAAGGATGGAAGGTGCTTTTTTGTGTAGGATTTGGCACTTACTTAATAAATGCCAACATCATCATCATCTTCATCTTGTTGATTCTCATCCCAGCAAAACCCATTTATCCTTTACCTACTGTCAGGAATTCCAATTAGACCACAACTTGAGCTACTTCCCCATCTCCAAGGATGGAGGAGGTTTCCTTCCTTATGAAGCCTCTATTCCAAATTATTGTGCAGTCCACAGGCAGAGGCAAGGGGCTGGAGAAGCCTCTGGACACACTTCCCCTCCTCCAACCCCAGACTTCAGGCCCAGTTAATTTGAATCGATTTACCATTTACTATGAATGTAGCAGCTTCAGTGCCACTCTAGACAGGAGCGGGCTGCAATGGGTGGAGCTGCTGTAGGTTTGGGAGAAAGGCTTGGGGTAGGAGAGAGGAACAGTGATTTAGAGCTGTATTGTGTGTGGGGGGCTCATATTTTCTGAATAAAGTTGGTATAGCCTATTACAGTGCAGTGAGGATTGATTCTCTCAGTGGGACCTAAATAATGCCTGTGCCCTCAGTGATGTTCATTCCTTCAGCACAGTTAGAGGCCCTTCAGTGAGGTTTGAATCTTTTCACTCAGGTCCAAATCTCCTTAATGAAGTCTGCATCCTCTGTATCTTCTAGAGTGGAATCTATATCCCTTCAGTAGGGTCAATGCCCTTCAATGCCATTCATATCCTATTAGAAGGGCCCAGAGCCCTTGGGTGGGATCTAAGACACTCGCACAAGATCTGTCCTCCCTCAGGGGAGTCTTTGTTTTTTTTTTTTTAAGAAAGAGTGAGAGAGGGAAAGAGAG